CTGGAGGACCGGCAGCAGGCGGGGGGCGCGCCCGAGGCCCGCGCGCGCCTCTGGGACGTGTTCTGTGATAACAGCCGAGAGCTGCACAGCATGACCAAGGCGCTGCAGAACGTGCTGGACCTAGACGGTGACCCCGAGCTCTTTGAGCGCTTCCTGGGCTCCGACTTCCCCTTTACCGTGGCCGAGGCGCAGTCCCTGCTGCGCTGCACGGTTAACCTGGACCACTCCATCCGCCGCCGGATGGGCCTCATCCGGGCGGTCAGTGCGCTCAGGCCACCCAGCCCGCCCAAGTCTCCTGCCCGGGATGCGCCTTCTGCTGCCGGTGGAGCCACTAACACTGCAGGGGCATCCCCGGGAGGCAGCGGGGCAGGGCACACCAGTGGAACCCACCACCCCCTGGACAAGGCCCACGTGGGCAAGCCGAAGCCAAAAGCCTGAGCCCCTCACACCAGGGGCCCCAGCCGGGTGTGCCCTGAATGGATGACCCCAGGGCAGCAAGCCCTCCGTCCACTGCCCCCTCGAGGGTGTAGGGCCACGCCCCCAGCTCACTGTGGCTGTGCCCGTGCCTGCCAGCGGGGTAGGGGAGGGGCAGTGAGGAACTCGGGGCGAAGTGCAATAAATGATGGCAAAGCCCTCCAGTGGGTGTTTGCATCCCAGCTCCCTGACTTCGTGAGGGCTGGAGGCCAGGCCTGCCCTGCCCACTTCCTCCGCAGGGAGCTGGGCCTCTGCCAAAGCTGGCATCCAGGTGGCAGGAAGGCCGCGGGGGTGGTGGGCGAGGCGGAGAGGAAGGGCGGATGTACCTGGTTGACTCAGGCAATGAGGAGCACCCAGGCCTCGGGGAAGCCAGGTCCTCATCCCTGTACCCTAGCCTGTCCTCCGTGGCATTTCCAGCGTGCCGCACCACCCTCGGCCAGCTGGGTGGTGCCACTGTCTTTCCCAAGTGGTGTAACTGTCCAGGAGTGGCCTGAGGGGGTCAGGGTAGTCTGGTCACCGACGCTGAAGTTACCTGGTCAGCCCCTTCATGAGGACACGGGGAACGAAGAGTGAACCAGCAGCAGAGCTCACGTTACGGCTGGGCTGGGCACTGCCGGCAAGGGGACAGGCTTTGCTCGGGCAGTTCCTGAGCCTTCATCCGGCCCCACAGGCCCACGGGGTTCTTGGCCATGTCAGGGAGCAGCAGGGACCAGAGGCCAAGGGCACAACTTCTAGGCCAGTTCCCAGGAGACCACAGGGCTCTGAAGGCACCACCCTCAGGCCAGCCAGTGCCCAAGGATGGGGGTACTGGCCACACCCACCGTCCTCAGACCATAGTGGCTGGTATGTGGGTGATCTGGGTCAGAGCCCCAATGACAGGGACAGAGGTGCCATTTCAGCCATGATTGGCCAAGCTGCAGGGGAAGAGAGCTCAACAGGGAAGAGCTTGCCCCGTCCAGGGACAAAAACCTGAGGACTCGATGCTTGTGACACTGTCGGCTGGTATGGCTGTGGACATGCTGCTGGGCTGGTACATGGCTGTCCCCTTTTGTCTTGCTCAGGTCAGTCTGAGGCAGGCCAAGCCCAGGGTGCAGTAAGCAGGACCCCGGCTGCTAGACACCCAGGGGCTGTAGCCACTGTCAGCTGGTCCCCAGCAGCGGCCAGTCTGTTGCCCATTTTGTCAAAGGCTCTGGTTAAGGATCTGCCAGAGCTAGCGTTCCGGGAACTTTGTAAATGAAACCAAAACAGGATCAGGGGGCTCCTGTGGCTGAGACGGCTCCGCCACCAGCACCCACATTCCCCTAAACGGCGCAGAACTTTTGTGGGAACTTCCAAAAGCAAAGCCACGGGCCATCACCAGCAAACAGGTACTGAAAGTGACCGTGCCTTTCCCGCAGCGGTGAGGACAGCACGAGGGCTGCGTATGCCAGGCACGGGGACAGGTGTGAGCGGCTCATCTGAGGCCTGTAAGGTAGCATGTTTTGGGTCTGTTGTCAGTTCTCGTGTGTCCACACTGCCTGTGTGCTGTGGGTTTGCCTTCCTCCTCCTGCCCCCCAAAGGGGAGAACATGTCCGTCACCCTAGAAGGTGACAGCAAACAAGCACTTGGGGAAGCTGGGTCCCCGAGTCACGCGGCGCCTGCCACCCTGAACCCCGCACCTGAGTGAAGGCACCTGTGGAGATGGTGGTGGTACCGTGTCCAGCCAAGTGACCGTCAAGACAGTACACTGGGTGAGGTGTGGGGGGCCGAAGGCAAAGGGAAGGAAACACGGGCTGTGACGACAAAGTCTCCCGAGGCCAGGTTTGCAACATTCACTGTCTCACAGGTGTGGCGGCTCCGTGTCCCTCACAACCGAGACACCTTCCTGGCTTCAGGTGTGTAGCTGTGGCTGCTGTGCCATCTAACTGCATCACTCCAATCCTGTCCTTCTGCCTCTCCCGGTGGCTACTGGTGTGCACATTCTCCCCTTTGCCTGTATGTGAACAGCACAGTCTTGCATAGGCAAGACCTGCATAGGCAGGTTTTAAACTCCTGGGCTCAAGCAATCCTCCTGCCTCAGCCTCCTCAGTAGCTTGGATTAGAGACTCATACTCTTCCACCTGGCTAAAACCACCTGCCCACCAAACCCAGTTTGGGGAAGGAGCCAGAGCTTGTGCATGCTAGGGAAGCACACCAGTAGTTTGGTTTAGGGCCCATCCTCCTGAGCTCATTCTGAAGTGACTATTGTGGTAAAGACTATTCCCAGGGCCGGGGATGTAGCTCAGTGGTTCCGTCACCTATCTTGCAAGCACAAGGACCCCAGTTTGATCCCCAGTACCAAAATAAAACAAAAAAAACAGAAGGTACTTCCTTTAAGCCAGGTGTGGTGGCAAATGTCTGTAATCCCAGCACTAGGGAGGCTGAGGCAGGAGGATCACTGTGAGTTCGAAACCAGCCTGGACTACAAAGTGAGTTCCAGGTCAGTCTCAACTACATAGTAAGACCCTGTCTCAAAAAAAAAAAAAAAAAAAAAAAAAAATCCAAGTCAAGTCACGCCCTTACCTGGCATGAGGGTTAGGACGTGAGCATGTTTCGGTGGGGACACAATCCAATCTATAACTGTGTGGAAGGTCTGATTGGTCACTACAAGCTGAATGTAGTGCAAAGAAGGACAGAAATAAGGCTAGAAGAGGACCTCAGCCCCTCATAGGCACGACAGGTGTGGAACAGCCACGCCCAGAGGTGCAGGGTTAGAGTCACAGGCACCAGCCAAATTCTGAGCAGACTAAGATCACTGGCTGGACTCACAGACCCCAGCCAGGCAAAGGACCCGGCTTCTCAGCACCTTCTCAACAGCCACAGCTCCTGGCCTCACAGAGGGGCTGGAACCATGGTGGCTTGGAGGCCCCAGGTTTTCTTCTACTGCCTCCTGGTTTTCCTTTAGGGATCCCTGGTACTGACCTGCAGGTACTCACCTGCAGGTGCTGCTGGGCCCACCCACAGGGCCACCCAGGGCCAGAAAAGCAGAGGGGCAGGTGGTGAGCCCAGCCCGTTTATTAGAAAAGGTGTGAACAGAGCCGCACCGACAGTCGCCCATGCCCGCCCCCCCGCAGTTGTAGTGCCTCCCAGGGCGCGGCCTCAATGGCCCGGGCAGCGGGGTCCCCAGACACCCACTGCTGCCCCAGCTCCCTGATAGATTTATTGCACTTAAGAGAAAGAAAGCTCTGATCCTTCGCACCCAGCCCCACCCGCCTGGCCCGCACCCCGCCTGGGGTGTCCTGGGAACTTCCACCACCCGTGCCACCTGCCTGGTCCCCGGCGGGGCCAAGGGGCCACCTGCCACCACGGATGCCTGCCCTCGACACAGTAGGCCGGGCGGGCGGGCGCTCCAGAACTGGAGCGGCCCTGCGGCCTCCTCGCCGTCCTCTCCCATCCACCCCAGCCGAGTCCTCGAGTGGCAGACACATAAATGGGTGCGCTGCGGCCTCGAGGCTGTAGTGCTCCTGGGGCGGGGTCCTCGGGTGCTCCTGGCCGGGCATCCTGGGCCTCGGGAGGGCTGGGGTGAGGGTGAGCAGATTCTCATGGCTCTGGCCTCAGCTCATCCAAGACCGACCCGAAAGAAGGAACTGGGGGAAACAGACAGAGAATGGGGGCGCCGTCAGGGCAGGGCTCCCCGCCATCCGTGCCCGAGCCGGGCCACCTACAGTGTCACAGTGTCTCCTGCGCGGCCTCCTGAGTGGCCTCCAGAAGCAGCTCCTCCAGTGCCTTCTCGTCCCGTGGGCAGCGCAGCTCTGCGGGGCGGCCTTGGTCAGCGGGGGGAACAGAGGGACCCGAGGACCAGAGCCCACTTGCCCCTGCCCCTTCCCAGGCTGGTTTCCTGGGAGCCGGCCCAGCGTGCTCCCCGGCCGCCCTGCCCAGCCTCTCACCGTGCTCCAGGCCACAGCTGCCTCCCTTGGCCTCTGGCCCCGGGGGTGGCTCTGGGGGAAGCGCGAGGGCAAACTCAGGCTTCAGGCCGTTGGGCAACGGGGGCCCTGACTGAGGTGACTCCGGCTCAGATGACCCTGGATCCTGGATGCCAACAGCCTTGGCTGGCGGGGAGACAGGGGCAGGGGACACAGGTGGGGACGGAGGGGAGGCAAGGCCGGGGGGCACAGGGGGCTCTGCCCTCTCAGGTGGACTCTCCACCCGGGTCACCACGAACACCTTGTGACCGCGGCCCGGGCTGGACACAGAAATCCGCTGCTCGGTGGGGGAGGAGGGGCTGCCTGGGGGGCTCCTATCCCCAGGGCCCAGAGAGTCCGCGGGGGGCACCAGGGCAGGGCAGGGGGCTGAGGGGCTCGGGCCACTGCTGGGCTCTTTCCTCTGCTGGTCGTTCTCCTCTTCCTCCTCCTCCCCATCCGAGACTGAGTCTGAGTCTGAATCCGGGCCGGGCCCGGAACTGGGGGCCCCGTTCTGCGCTGCGGTAGCCGGCACGTCCCCGGACTCCTCGGGGGGCTGCGGCCCTGTGACCGTGATCTCGGGCATGGACGCCGACAGCTGCAGCTGCTGCTCCTGCTCCTCCCGCTCCCTCGCCAGCACAAAGTTGCGCTTGCAGCCGTTCTGGATCTCGGCCAGCAGCGCCTTCTGCGTCTCGATGAAGCTCTTTACCTGTGGGCGGCAGCACCTGGCTAGGGCCCTGAGGTCCAGCCCGACCTGCGGCCGGCCCAGCCCGCCAGGCCCCTAGGCCCCAGGCCGCAGGCAGGGCCCGCTTGCTCACCGCCTCCTTCTTGGGCTCGCGGTCAAGGTCCAGGCGCAGCAGGGAGTGGTTCACCTTGAGGGCCAACGACAGTGCCATGAGCCCGCCCGTCTTGATCTCGTTCTCCCGAAGGTCCAGTCTCAGGAGGCGGGGGCTCTCGGCGATGAACTCTGCCACCGCCACCGCGCCTGGGAGGGGGACGGCAGGGGCTGGCCAGGAACCCCACGCCACACAGCTGGCCACCCCCCCAGGCCTCCTGGGCCCCGAGCCCCCCAGCCAGGCCGGGCTGCGCCCTACCCTCGCAGGTGAGCTTGGTAGAGGCCAGGCCCAGGCGCAGCACGCTGCGGTTGCTGATGAGCCCGTTCTTGAGGTTGCGCACGCCCTCATTCCCGATGGGGTTGTGGCCCAGGTTCAGGGTCTCCAGGCTCTGTGTGTGTGGCTGCAGGGTAAGGAGGGGACCCCAGGGGACCCAAGGCCCAGGAGGAATAATCAGGAAGGGAGAAGAACCAAGCCCGGTGCTCTTCCCCCGACAGGGGGCAGCATCTAAGCACCGGCACAAGCCTGGCGTGGGTGATGGTGCTCACCTGCAATCCTCGCACTTGGGAGGCTGAGGCAGAGGATTCCCAAGAGTTCAAGGCCAGCCTCGACTATATGGTGAGGCCCTGTCTCTGGACCCACAGCATCTCCCCAAAGCGTCCTGTCCCTGTCCACTCCCAAATCTCCAAATGTCCCAGCTGAGGCGGGCCTGTGGGTCTCAGCACAGCCTCTCAGTGGGGTGGCTCTGCCCCAGGTGTCGGGTCCTCCAGGGTTCACCCTGGAGTCCTCGCACCGGCTGGGCTTGCCTTACATCGAGTCAAGCGTAAGTGGCACTTGCTGTAATCCCAGCACTGGGGAGGCTGAGGAAGGAGGACCCCAGTCACATGGCCAGGCTGGACTACATAGTGAGTTCAAGGCCAGTTATATAACGAGACCCTAACTCAAAACATAAAAACCCGAATAAATATTTTGTAACAAAAGGAATGAAAATATACTAAAGGTTTTCAAAAACAGTAACTCTTTTAGCCCAACTGTAGTCTACCATGTTGGATCAAAAAGGAACCAAAGCAGCCAGGGAGCAGAGCTAGGTGGAAGCCGCAGCAGGCCAGGCAGGGCGGGGCCGACTCACCAGTGTCATGCCCAGGAAGGCCATGCCCGTGTGCGTGAGCTGGTTGTTCCACAGCACCAGGGTCACCAGCCCCTTCCTCTGCTCCTTGAGGCCCTCGCAGATATAGGCCAGACCTAGGGGAGGCCTGCAGTCAGTGGCCAGCAGGCAGCAGGGCGCGTCCTCCAGGTGGCCTGCCCCAGCTCCGCCCCCTGCTACTCTATGCCCAGCAGGCTGGCAATTCACTCATCTCCTGCCTCTACCTCAGACCCACTCCAAGCCTGAGCCACACCTGCTGGGGCACATGGGGGTATCCAGGTGTGTGGTCCGGGCCTGGCACACTGACGGGGACACGGGCCTCATAGCACCATTTTGACCCCTCCTTCCTTTCTCCACTGAAGCCCAGGGGACTCTGCCCAAAGGTGGAGCTGCTGGCCTAGCCACCTCCTGCATGCGAGATGTGAACTCCTCTTTCTTCCTCTCTCCTCGCTCATCCCCTGGCTCACTGAGGCTTCCCCCCACAGAGAACAAACTCCTAAGCTCATTTCTACCCCAGGGCCTTTGCAACTGATGTTCCTGCTACCTTTTCCAGGCTTTAAGAAGGGCGGACTCTGCTCAGGTCACTGCTAGGAAGTCCCTCCCATTGCCCTTCATGCCTGCACAATCCCCCATAGCCTCCAGCTGACCCCACACCCAAACAATATCCTCTCCTTCAGGAACTTTTCAGACGTCAATCACTTTAACTATTCCTTCAGTATCACTGCCCCCCCCAGGTGCCAGCCAAGTTCTCTCCTGCGGGACCCCACACTGGGTCAGGCCCCCTCGGACACCTCAGCCCAGCCCTGCCCACTCTGGAAGTCACTGTCTAGGGCAGCCCTGATTTCTCCACGGGCCGCGAGACCCAGCCCCACAAGCCTAGTGCCAGGTGACGGCGGCTGCACGCACCGGAGTCCAGCACGTGGTTGCTGCGCAGGTCCAGGATCTGCAGGGAGCAGTTGAACTTGAGCAGGTTGCCCAGCTGGGCCGAGTCCTGCAGACCATTGAGCTTGTTGTCGGCCAGGTACAGCTCCCGCAGGTTCATGTTCATCTTCAGGGCCGTGGCTGTGGGAGCAATGGGGGTGGGGTGAGTGGCCAGGATGGCTCCCAGACCCCCCACACCGCGGGCTGCGCCTGGGCCTGGGCTCACCGAGCAGCATGAGCGGCCGGCCCGA